AATGAATAGAACACAGTGGAAAAAGAAAGTTTTTGAATGCAACAGAAAGCCTACTGGTTGAATTTGATTGTTCAAGTAAAAACTAGAAGCAAAGCAATTTTGCGCACATGCACTACATTTCCTAGCACGTGCCATAAAAAAGCAATCATTTCTCACACAGGAGGGGAAATGTAGCGTCCAGTAACAGGAAGGACATTTCTACATGTCTTTCGTATCGACAAGTGCTAGCGCGCATACTAAAACATGTGTGCTAGGATTTCTCGTCATCTGACAATTAGGTGGAACAGCTTCACAGGCGCAGCAATCGAGTACGTTACATGTGCTCTAAGACGGTTTTTTCGGTGTTTCGAGACATGGCAACATTCAATTTACTAGACAATCGTCAGAAATTGAATTGTAGGACTCTTTCTAGCGCTGATTGGACTTTTTTGTTCACTATACACTCAATAGCTAATCATCTTCAACAGTTCGGCAGGTAAGCTGGACCAAGGCCATGGAATCGTAAAGAAACTTCAGGGGCATTTTCGTCAAGGAAAAGATTTCAACGCGTATGCACTTTCACAGCCACCACCAGTGAACCGCAACTCAGAAGCTGCTTTTATGTAACCATAGTTGAGAAGAGCACGCCTCACCTTTATGATACTCAATGGGATTGAAGCAGAACGAGGACTTATTCAGCGAACCTAATAATTGTGGAAATGCCCATTCATTTTGAAAACTTCTTCTAGAAGGCAGAAAGCGGGAAGGATATTCGACGATTGCGACAATCAGAACAGGAATGGATATAGACGATCAATGCTTGAAAACATTGCACATACATACGTTTTTGTCTCTCTGCGGAATAGTGGTCTGACTCTAGTAAAAACATGTTCCGAGCATTATTTGGAGTTACAAGGTGAAGCTAGCCGTTGGTGTTTCTTTTTTGATCCAAGCAGATGAAGGCCTAAGGCATGCCTCACGCGATTTCAGTCGCTGCGCGAGTGCTCGTAAGAGTGCTTTACCTAAGCCAAATTTCATGTTTTTGCAAACTCTCAGAAGCTACGTACCTATGCAGTTGAGAACCGCGCACGGTGAGTCTGAAACATCTATCAAATCGCCAAGTCGCGCTGATGTAGCGATTTGACGAAATTGCGGGATGTCTTAGACCTAAGGGAAGAAGCGGAAAGGAGACTGCAGGTCTTCGGGTTAGAACGCGAAGTTTTCGAATCTGGTCTACAAGTCCGATAAAGTCTTGCAGGTTTTTTCTTTTGCAAACAGCCAAGAAACTCTATAAAGTAAAGCATAAAAATTGAAATGACTTCAAGAAGAAGTTACTGGCCTCAAAAATTTTCAGGTGGTTAAGCTTGCAAAACAATTGTAGAGACTTCCCAATAAATTTCGAAGGGCGTCTTCAGGGCAGGCCACGTCTAAGGAAACTTCTCCCTAAAGCCCTCCCTCCTCCCCCAGAAAAAACCCAAAATTCCCTGTTTGCTCACATACTGCTCCGTCCATAGTAGACGGAGCTGGAATGAGGGCATCCCATGGCGGTGATGATCATAGCGGTGACCACTGCTTTTGTCACAAGAGCAGAAGTTACAGTTACAGAAAATACAATTTCCTTCTAAGTGTTACTTTCTTTGGGCAGATTTTTCAAATGAAACTATCAGTATTATGGGATATAAAAATCCGGTTTCTCTTACGTACAACAATCATCTTTTGTTAAGGTAAATCAGGTGTATGTTGCGAATGCTTCGGTCATGTAATCTTTTTCTCAGACAGAAGGTAAGCGACTCAAATAGTACACTTATTTCTTGTGATCATTTTAATGCAAGTTGTCACTCCGAGCTTACCAAATAGTCAGCTACTCAAAATTTAACATAAGGTTTGTATTTCTGCCATTTTCATCGAAGCGTCAAAGAATTATTCAAATGTCTTTTATCCACTCAAAGAACTTTCTGTTCAGTGGAGAAGACCATTTTTTGGTTGAAAACTAATGCTCGAAACGTCTAATCATAACAATATGCGTTAAAAGAGTGGTAAGGAGTTTGCGAAGAGCAGACAATTTACAACATAGAGTACTGCGAAGATTAAATTAGGTTGATGCAAAAATGATAGCCGAATTTTCAAGCCTTTTTAGGACAACTTTTTTCCATCAGAATATCTTCTTTGAAATGTGGCATATCGCTGAAAACTGTTATCATGCTTCATCTAATGACGGTTGAATAGGGTTTCCATCCTCATCTGTTACAAAGTTACTGAACTTCAAATAACCGCATCCAAATTCAGAATTTCATTGCTTTCACTTTTCTGGCCAGCATTCAAGAGCGCATGAACGGCGCTGCGGAAATTTGGCTACTGTATGTGATAGAAATTATCTACATTATAATACTTGGCTGTATTTTCTGAAGTTATCTGAGATAGCGATGCCTCAATATATGGGTAGCCGTTGAATCATTTTATAACTCATAAATTTCTTTTGAAGAAGTCAATCGCCGAAGCCTTGCTCAATTCTGTAAGCGTAATGCTACTGCATCCTAATGGCTGATTTGCAAGAACATCCAGCTGTACAGTACGCAGGAAATCGGAAAATTCTATGTTTGGGGTTTTGAGGCATACTGGAAAAAATGTCAAAAAATTTGACAATTTCAATTTTAATTTTTTAATTTTTTCGCAAATTCTTTTTCTGCAAACCCTTTCCATCGCATGTTGTACTACTGGCTTGCGGCTACAAGTTAGGTCACTCGTCATTCAAGTTGATTTTCTTCCTACTTATGATGCGAGTATAAATAAATGTGCGCTGCAATGCGAGAGGTTAGCTGTTTCTGAGGGTCTCTACCATATTCAGAAATGTGGATTTTTTCAGAAAGTTATAGCACGTCAAAGTGAGAATTCGCAAAACGGCCATTATTTTTGCATCAACCTAATATTAGGTTGTCCCACAAGTTTTTAATTTTGACTTTACCGCACACATTTTTACCCTTCTCAATTCTAATCATGACGCAGGGTACCATTCGATAGAGCAAAGCAAGCTCTATAAGATGGTGTGTTCGCACCAGCTTCAGCACATCACGAATTAAAAGCCGAAATCTGAGAACTTTTGGACAGGGCTCAGCAGAGGCGCCGCTTTCACAGGCTGGATGTCGTTTTTCTCAGAGAAAAGCAAAAGGGAACTCGTAATGTTTCCAGGGATGGTTCTCGGAAATCTTATATACTGTTAGCAAGCACAAAGCTAACCGTTAGTAGGCCCTTATTTCAACTCCGATTAATTTCAACAGTAACAGTTAGACTAACACATTACAAACAGGGCCCGGCACCGATGGTTTGGGGTCAAACTGGAATTCGTTTTTGGAGTTAGAAGCAACGGGGACATCGTTTTTATGAGGTCCTGGAGGAAGCGCCAAAAAACACGACGAACATGTCAGGAGATGAACATGTTCTTTCGCAAGCGCGCGAATTTCAAATGCACGACTCAAACAAACAAATGGCTTGTTTACAGCGCACAAACAATCACATGGCTCCGAATTTGGGCTATGAGTATACAACATTACTCCAAACTATGTTATGTAAAAAGTTCCCAAAACTATGTGTCTGAATACCCGTTCCGGATTTGTTGGTTTCTAGACCAACCACCGAGCCAACTGGGTTGGTTCGGAGCATAAATTTCGGAGAGTTCACATAAGTTTTGGATCTTTTTGATTTGGACGATTAAAACGCTCAAAAATCTATTATATAGTGAGGAGAGCGAATCAAACCATTGCCTCTCCTCTTCTTTTGAGCCAAAAGTAGTGCAAATCTATACGCCTTGATAGATATTGCGCTCTAATCACACGCGGTGTCCTTTGAACTATGTGGCGAAAAATGCACTGCCAGATTGTTGAGGCCACAGATTTGGTTGGCCTAGGAGGTTCTCGACATTCTGAGCGCTAAAAGGTACACTATCCAATGACAGGGCCTTTAATCAACTTGAAATGCTTTTTTGCTTTCTTGTTGTATTAGTTACCTCAAAATGCGCTTTTTTCGCCTTTTAATATTATTTTGACTAATTAAGGGTTTCCGTACTGATTTTTACGTCAAGAGGGACTTCGTAAATTTTCGCGAAGTCATGGGGGACTTTGTTTCCAGAAACGCTTCAAACCAACGCATGCCGGGCCCTGATTACAAACATGACGGGCACTTACACTTGTTTGCACACGATTTCACTTGTTAAAACAAAATCTTTATGCATAAACAAATGAAAAATCTCAATCTAGCAATGTTTACTCTTTCTCTTTCTCTCATACAGGTTTTGGTGCACGTTTACATGTATGAGATAAAGATAATCAGTTCGTTTGCAACCGGTGAGCAATACTGAGCCACCAAATTTGGTGTGTACCTCTGCGGCGGCGTTCAACAGGAAAGTATGAAAATTTATAAAGAAATAATGTAAATGAAAGGAGCTGTAAGTGTTTCTCTAATTTAGCTTGCTTAATTTGAGAGCACCCTGAGTTTGCGCGGAACCAAACAAATTCATAATTTTCTCCCATCTCCATATAATTTTCCTTTCTCCCTTTTATACATAATTTTCCAATGTTTTTCATATAATTTTACTCTTCAGTTAGAACTCTACCTATGAATATCGTCGAGTCATTCGTAACTTAATATGCCTAGTGCACACTTAACACGCTAACTGACGAACAGCAAAACTAGAACTTGCTCATTTCCCGTGATTTTTGCTTGTTTCCCTGCCTCTTTTGTTTTTGTTGATTACATGTTAATCAATAGAACACATTGTTAGAATAGAAGATGTTTTACTGGAAAGTTACTAGTAAGGGTGCCGTCGCTAATAGGGCTTAGTGTGCAGTTCCACATA